TTGTGATATAAATTGGAGACCATCTTCTGAATCTGTGGATTAGGAATGTGTATTTTAAAGGATTTATCAGGAGGGACCGAAAGATTTTTGAAGGAAGGTTTAGGGAGAATTGAGGAGTGGAGATAATGTTGTCTTTAATCTTATTTTCTTTGCAACTTTGCAGACTTTGCCATTCTAAATGATTAATACAAAATTCTGGTTTGTTTCTTGTTGCTTATACCTAAAGTCCGGATTTCTTTAAAAAAGGAAATTTTTCATAACTAATAAAACTCCACATCTATTTACACAGTGTGGTGTTTTGCTGTTCTAAGAGTGGTGTCCTCTGTGTACTTTTTGTAAATAATAGAGCCCCTTTTAAAATGTAAGCAGTTTTTTAAACAACATAGCGTCATAAATGTATTTCTTGAAAAGTCTTTTTTTATTTTAACATTTATTTTTAGAATGTAAAGAGTATGTTCATTCTTGCAGAACGAAAAATTCCACCTAGTTTTACAAAGAAACTATCTGAAACGGTAGAAGAAACTGAAGGAAACACCCTTAAACTTGAGGGCCGTGTTTCTGGTTCTCAGCCTCTGACCGTTGCTTGGTATAAAAACAATCAAGAGATCTATCAGAGTCCCAGTTGTGAAATATCTTTCTTGAACAACACCATACTTCTGCAAATTAAGAGCGCAGAGCAGGCTGATGCTGGCTTATATACCTGCAAAGTGTCCAATGAAGCAGGAAGTGTATTGTGTACTTCTTCCGTTGTTATTAAAGGTTAGTTAATTTCATGTTTTGCTTCTCTGTGGTGTTAGGTTTTTGGTTTTTTTATCAGCATGTTAGCTGTCAATATACGTCTTCCATAGCTAATCAAATATTTCTCACTGAGTCTTATTTTTAGGCCATATATAATTGTGTGTGAACAATATTAAATTCAGTACAGCATACACAATGAGATAACGGCAGCTACTTCTCCTTTAGATACTCAGGGAGAACTCATGAACTTCAATTTGAGTTCTGTATCTCAGGAGAGAATTGAGCACAATATATCTATTACTTTCTACTAATTAGAATGCCGTACTAATATTTCCTGCAGATTTCTACATTTCGTTTATCGAACGGTTTTATACAAACCTTGCTGCTTTCAATACGTATTCATAGCAAATAACCCGACGCTGTGCATGTTATGCGTGGCTAGATCTCGACAATAAGCCATTAATTTTCCTGCCAATTTAACAAGTTCAGAACCGTACCGGTAATATTTGCTCACTAAAGTGTGACAGAGTTTTACAGGACAACATCAGCATTTTTCAAAAACAGCTGAAAACTCTTTAGCTACTAATGCAAGAGTCACATAATTATTTTTTATTTTATATTATTTTATTTTATTACTTTTTGCATACTATCCTTTGGGATCTATTCTTGCTTATATTGCATACATTATTCTGATTAACCGTATGTCTGTGGAAGTCGATACCCTCAATAGGCATTCCTAGCATATTACATAATATGCTTAGAACGTATTTTGTTAATTATTTATCATAATCTAGCTCTTAGCAAGCCTAGTGCAAACACATTGTCTACTTCATTGCCTATCTTTCTCTTTCTTTAGCATTTGTTTTTCTCTTCCGCCTACTGTAATATGACGTGTGTCATACGTTAAAGTAATAGTAAAGACTACATTATTCGTAAAAATGGATTAAGCCCCTACGCTCCACAGGTGCTTGGGGCGGCCAAGGGAGAGGGGCGGCACCTGCGGCAATTCGGGGGCGGCAGGTCCCTCACTCCCTCTAGGAGCAAAGGACCTGCCGCTGAACTGCCGCCGCCGATCGCGGCTTTTTTTTTTTTTGCTTGGGGCGGCAGAAATGCTGGAGCCGGCCCTGATGATGACCGATGATGTAAACAGTGGCATCTGGTGTGAACTATGAATTAACATTGTAAAAACAGAACCGGTTGAATCTTTAGAGATATAAAAATGTGACGTCCCATAATATCCATCAAATCTCTACTCAATTTCTTTTCATGGAGTCGCAGTTTTGCTACGCAAGATGTGCAGCTTTTCCTTCACTGTTGGAAGGATCAGAACAAAACCATCTCTACCTAAATTTGCACAGCTGGGGCAGTGTGCTGTGGTAGCATAGGGTTTAGCGGTAATTGCTTTGGTAGTATAGTGCGTATTATATCTTTTAAAAGCTGTTTAAACAATTTTTGCAGAATGGCAGTTGTGCTTTAATTTTAATTCTCTTTAAGAAGGAGTGCAAATATAACTACTGTGTTGAGAGAAGATAGCATACTTACAGATTTCTTCGTGCATGCTTGGGGAAAAGTACTCTTTTAGTACTATTTTTATTCTCCCAAACTGTGTACAATTAGTATTCCCGGAAAACAGACTTGTATGTATCAACATACATTGCTGATCATTATTTGCTTGTAGATTTAACATTCTTGTTAGAGTTAAGAATTTATTAATCTATTGCGTTTCTCTCTTATAATCATGATACATGTTTACTAAATATTTTCCTGTTCTGTTCTCTCGACTTTACAATGAGATGTTACCGATTAGACGGTTTTTCTTTTCTTTCAGAACCAGCAGTCATTTTAGAGAAGCCAGAACCGATGTCCGTTACGGCTGGGGATTCTTTTACATTAGAGTGCACAGTGGGTGGAACACCAGAACTTATTACAAAGTGGTCTAAGGATGGAAGAGAACTACAGAGTGGCCGCAAATATCAAATTACCTTTTCCAACAAAGTAGCTACGTTGAAAGTTCTTTCTGCGGAGGCGGGAGACAGGGGACTGTATACATTTGAAGTGAAAAACGAAGCTGGTGAAAGTAGCTGTACATCCTCGGTTGATGTTTCAGGTTAGCTGGCTAGTACCTTAGTTGTCATTTAGTGATGTCTTTTCTTTAATTTTTAATCAAAAACAAACAAAGCAACCCGTGGTTTTGTCGCCTTTTTCTACGCAGATCGCATTGTCCCTCCTTTTTTCACAAGGAAGTTAAAGGAAACATGCGGGGTGCTGGGTTCCTCAGCGCTGCTGGAGTGCAAAGTTTCTGGATCACCACCCATTTCAGTTGCCTGGTTCCAAGATGGAAATGAGATTGTTAGTGGAGACAAATATGAAATCTCATTTTCAGACGACGTCTGTGGTTTGAAACTGAATGCACTGGACTCGTCAGATACCGGACCTTACACCTGTGCCGCCGCAAATGCCGCTGGCTCTGATGAATGCAGCGCCTTTTTGATTGTACAAGGTCAGTAAAAGAGGGCCAAGGTGCCTTAGGCAAAATGCTTCCTCCATTTGCTGCTATTTCTTCCTTGGCAATTTTCAGCGCGCCTATAAATCTTCAGCCAAACTCTGATTTGGTTTTCATCTTCAAACGTAACGATCACACTAATTTGTGAATGTGTCTAAACTTCTTTATGTATGTCTAGAACCACCCTCATTTGCGAAGACACCCGATCCCGTGGAAGTTCTACCTGGGATGAGTGTAACATTCACGAGTCTCATAAAAGGAACGGCCCCGTTCAAAGTTAACTGGTTTAGAGGCATCAGAGAACTTGTGTCAGATAGTACCTGCAACATCTCTTTGGAGGATACAGTTGCAGAACTGGAATTGTATGAAGTAGAACCACTCCACAGTGGAGATTACACCTGTCGAGTCACTAATGACGCTGGCAGCGTGTCTTGTACCACTCATCTTTTTGTGAAAGGTGTGTTTTGACTGTTGTTATTGTTGATAGAGTTTATTTATTTGTGTGTGTGTGTGTGTGTGTGTGTGTACGCACACATATTCGTGAACATCTTGTTACTTCCCCCTTCTTCTATTTGACTTTTCCCTTCCTATTTGTTGCTATAGAGCCAGCAACATTTGTGAAGAAATTAAGTGATTCCAGTGTAGAGCAAGGGAAATCCATCCTTCTGGAAAGCACATACAAAGGAACTCCTCCTATTTCAGTAACATGGAAGAAGAATGGCTTTCACATAACACAGTCCCCGAGATGTAGTATGACAACTACCGAAAAATCGGGCATACTGGAAATTCTTAACAGTACAAAAGACGATGAAGGGGAATACACTTGCGAGGTTGCCAATGATGCCGGAGCAGATATTTGCCAAGGCCAAATATCAATCCTAGGTGTGTTGCTATCTCCGATTCCTTAACCACTCTTGTAATAATAATGGTCAGTGTAAGATTTGCTCTCTTTTCTGTGATGCTGATTGCGATCATTTGTGCTTTAGAACCGCCTTATTTTGTTACACACTTGGAACGTGTAGAGGTGACAGTCGGGGAGACCGCATCTTTTCAGTGCCAAATTGCTGGGACGCCGGAAATCAAAGTCTCCTGGTACAAAGAAGATACAAAATTAAGATCGACCCCTGCTTATAAAATGTACTTCAAAAATAATGTGGCCGCGCTAGTTTTCAACCAGGTGGAGAGCAGTGACCTTGGAGAATACGTCTGCAAAGCAGAAAACAGTGTTGGCTTTGCTTCTTCCACAGCTCTGCTCACTATTAAAGGTGATGGTTTCATTTCAAGTATTTCAGTAATGACTCTTTATAGTAACAGGCTTATCGTAAATGCAAATTGTCTGCAGGTTGGCAGGATGCCTTATTTCCTACTTATTTTCTTGCAGACCGTAAGTTTCCACCGACCTTTGCAAAGAAACTAAAAGACATTCAGGAGACTGTTGGTTCCCCCGTTACCTTTGATTGTCGCATAAATGGCTCGGAACCTATTCAGGTGTCCTGGCATAAGGATGGGGTGCTATTACACGATGATGATAACATGCAAACAACATTCTTAAATAACGTAGCAACTCTTCAGATCTTGCAGACCGACATGGCTCACTGTGGCCAATACTCGTGCTCAGCTCACAATGCTCTTGGGACTGCTTCTTCCAGTGCCAAGCTCCTCCTCACAGGTTGGTAGCTGCTAAATCTTGTCCCGGCCATTGGCTTTAAACAAACAGAAGACACTGCGTTGTTGTGGAATGCCAAACGGTCTGATTGCGCGGCGGTGAAGCAGCAGCTGTGAGAGTTATGTTGTTTCTTTCCATTTTAGAGCGTCTGAGACCTCCTGTCTTTGATGTGAAACCTGAACCCATTGAGGTGGCTCTTGGAGCAAGTGGTTCCTTTAAATGCCACGTCACCGGATCGGCGCCACTAAAAGTCACTTGGGCAAAAGATAACAGAGATATCCGTCCTGGGGGCAACTACAAGATCACCCTGGTGGAAAACACAGCCAACTTGACAGTTCTAAAAGTAGGCAAAGGAGACTCCGGACTATACACTTGTTCTGCGAGCAACAGTGCTGGAAAGGATTCTTGCGCAGCTCAGCTAAGTGTGAAAGGTATTTAAGAACGCAATGCTTTGTCGTCTTCTTGCCAAGCGTTTTACCTTGTTAGAGACACAAAACAATGCCGAGCTTCTTCTTTTATCTTTCAAAGGGCGCAAAACTGAAAGCGTTCAATCTACCTGATGAGGTAGAGCAAATACATTGTCCAGGATTTTGACAGCAGAATTTTTCACCCTGTTGGTTATTTTAGGATTGAATCATATTGCATCTTGATCGCTGACGCGATTCCTGAGCAAAACCCTTTAACCTTCTAAATGCAAATTTTCCTCACCCACACCAAGAGCCTATTAGAATATGAACATTTGAGAAGCTGACAGTAGTCTGGGAGACAAACATTTTTTCCCCACCAGCACGCTGCTCATAGTATAGTATGTGGATTCTTCAACCTACGTATCTCTACATTTATGATCGGACTAATCTACCCTGGTGTAAACTACACCGGTATATTAGGAATTTTCACCATTGCGATTTCCTTCATGTGGGCAGGGCCTTTGGGTTTATAACAGTTGTTCTGGCTCTGTAATTCCCATTGATCCTTTAACAGGATGAGTGTAGGCTAAGCCTCTTTAAAAAGTGTGCCATTTTTTTCCTTAAAGATAATTGTAGATAGCATTAACATGTACTTATTTGTAGGGTTGTTAATTAATTGCAGTTAACTGAAGCGATTAACACATAAGAAATTAACTTGGTTTTTTAAAAATAGCCCTGATTAATCGCAGTTTTAGCCGCACTGTTAAACAATAATAGAATACCATTTTAAATTTATTATAAATATTTTGGATGTTTTTCTACATTTTCAAATATACTGATTTCAATTAAAACCATAGGCGTGCACAGCACATTTCATTAGGGTGTGCACCCAGGGAGCCCTGCCCTAGCCCCGCCCCCATCCACTCCCTCCTACTTCCCGCCCACTGACTGCCCCCTTCAGAACCTCCATCCCCTCCTGCTCTTTGTCTCCTGACTACCCCCTCCTGGGACGCCTGCCCCTAACTGCCCCCCAGGACTCCACCCCCTATCTAAGCCTCCCTGCTCCTTGTCCTCTGACTGCCCCCCAGGACCCTACCCCCCTACCTGTCCCCTGACTGCCCCGACCCTTATCCACACCCCCGCCCCCAGACAGACCCCCGGGACTCCCACGCCTATCCAACCGCCCCCTGACAGGACCCCCAGAACTCCCAACCCATACAACTCCCCCTGCTCCTTGCCTGCCCCAACCCCTCTCCATACCCTTGCCTCCTGACAGCCCGCCTCCCAGAACTCCCAACTCATCCAACCCCCCCAGCTCCTTGTCCCCTGACCACCCCCTCCAGAGACCCCCCACGCTAACTTCCCCCTCCCAGGACCATCCTTGCTCCCTGTCCCCTGACTGCCCTGACCCCTATCCACCCCCTGCCCCTTGACAGACCCCGGGACTCCCATGCCCCATCCAACCCCTCTGCTCCCTGACTGCCCCCTCCAGAGACCCCCCGCCCCTAACCACCCCTCCCAGGATCCCACCCCCATCCAGCCCACCCTGCTCCCTGTCCCCTGACTGCCCCCACCCCTTATCCAATCCCACCCAGACCCGTACCCCTTACCACAAGGCTCCTAGCAGCATGTTTGGCTCCGTGCAGAGCCAGACACGCTGCCCCGCAGGAGCGAGCAGCCCTGCCCCTTTGAATGCTGCCTGCGCGGCGGTATGGCTCCGGATGAGTGGGGAGCCTGTCTGCCTCCCTGCGGAGCCAAACACTGCCCCGCGGGAGCACGCAGCCCTGACACCCAGAGTGCTGCGTGCACAGCGGCATGGCTCCAGGGGAGGGGGGGAAGGCAGGGGAGGAGCTGGTGACTTGCTGTGCTCGGCCGGGCGCTCTGGCCCAGGAGCGCAGACCCCGCGGCTTGCCACGCTGTGAGAGTGGGGCCATTTTCCCACCCCTGCATTAGGGTGTGCCTGGGCACACCCGGCACACCCTGTGTGCATGTCTATGATTACAACACAGAATGCAAAGTGTGCAGTGCTCACTTTATATTATTTTTATTACAAATATTTGCACTGTAAAAAAGATAAAAGAAATAGTACTTTTCAATTCACCTCTTAGAACAGGGGTTCTCAAACTGGGGGTTGGGACCCTTCAGGGGGTCATGAGATTATTACATGGGGGGGTCACGACCTGTCAGCCTCCACCCCCAAACTCTGCAATGCTTCCAGCATTTATAACAGTGTTAAATACAAAAAAAGTGTTTTTAATTTATAAGGGGGGTCGCACTCATAGGTTTGCTGTGTGAAAGGGGTCACCAATACAAAAGTTTGAGAAATACTGTGTCAGGCTAGGTCTACACTGGGGGGGGATCGACTTAAGATGCGCAACTTCAGCTACGCGAATAGCATAGCTGAAGTCGGCGTATCTTAGGTCAATTTACCTGGCCATGAGGACGTCGGCGAGTCAACCGCTGCCGCTCCCCCGTCGACTCCACTTCCACCTCTCACCACGGTGGAGTTCCGGAGTCAATGGCAGAGCGATCGTGGATCGATTTTATCGCGTCTACACTAGACGTGATAAATCGATCCCCAATAGATCGATCACTACCCGCCGATCCGGCGGGTAGTGTAGACGTACCCTTAGAAGTAATGTAGTGCTATCTCTTTATTGTGAAAGTCCACCTCTACAAATGTAGAATTATTTTTTTCACATAACTGCACTCAAAAACAAAACAATGTAAAACTTCAGAGACTACAAGTCCACTCAGTCCTACGTCTTGTTTGGCCAATCACTAAGACAAACAAGTTTGTTTACAGTTAAGGGAGATAATGCTGCCTGCTTCTTATTTACAATGTCACATGAAAGTGGGAACAGGTGTTCACATGGCCCTGTTGTAGCCGGAGTTGCAAGGTATTTACATGCCGCATGTGCTAAACATTGGTAAATGTAAAAAGCTTAAACACAGACTTTATACATAGCAAACATACTTTTGCCCAAAAGGTCGATCAGGAAACAGACTTTAGCCATATACATATACTCTAGGACTAAGCTACACAGCATACACATACACACCAGGTATCTATACACTAAATTATATATATATATAATTCTCTTCCATACATATAACATGGACAGAATTCAAGATACATTTCTGTCATGGTCAAGGTCACAAATCAGCTGAAATCTAGTATGGAAACTTCCAAAGAGCAAATTTCGGCTGTAAGTTTGGCATTTTAAGACACTGTCACCCACAGTAAGAGTTGAATATTTCAGTGAATCATGTCAATATATATAGAGTTTTGTGTGCAGACCTATGTGAAAATCTGGGCACATGATATATAAACTATTGAATTGTAGTGAGGGTAATTCTTATATCTAAATGCTCTTGTAAGTTATATATATGGCAATTTAGTAAACAATAATCTTTCTGCAAAATAAATGTCCAAATCTTTGCAAGGAACTTGGGAAATCATTCTACATGTAATACAGACCATTGGCAAAGACATACAAAGAAACTCCCTTGCTTTTGTTTGTTATGTATGCTGTGTGTTCCTTTCTGTCATGCTGCCACCAGATATATCACCGGCTAGTGTAAATTCACGTTTTGTAGATATTTCTACTCTTGCCCCAAAACCCAAAAAAGTGTACACTGTCGGTTAGATTTTCATTTTAAAGAATCTGCAGTTTAGTGAATCATCTTGTTTACTCTTGTCCTTTGGTTTCATAGAACCACCAAGGTTTATTAAGAAGCTAGACTCCTCTAGAGTTGTGAAACAGCATGATTCCACTACATATGAATGCAAAATAGGCGGGTCTCCAGAAATCAAAGTCACCTGGTACAAAGACGAAGCTGAAATCCACGACAGCGAAAAATACAGAATGTCCTTCGTTGACGCCGTGGCAGTCATTGAAATGCACAATCTCAGTGTGGAAGACAGTGGAGACTACACTTGTGAAGCTCGCAATGCAGCGGGCACTGCAAACACCAGTACTTCGTTGAAAGTGAAAGGTCAGAACCCCACTCCTCCCTTTTTTGTCGGTTCCTTCTTTTAATCTGCTGTGGAAGGTTAATAAATCTTCTCTTCAGTCAGATAGGCGAGTGCTGCCTTCTGAGAACACAGGGTACGGATTTTACCAGGGTGCTATGACATGGGAGCCATCTCTTATTGTGACTCGTGTCTTT